CTCTAAATCTCCGAGATTTTAGAGACCCTAAGGAGATTCTGAAAGATTTTAGATTTTCGTCCCGGGTCTTCTATCGAGCCGCCGCGTAGATAATCAAAGAAAGAGAAATAATTCGAAATCTGAAGAGATTCTTATCACGCGATCCCCTTGATCGTATAATCCCTGCATCCAGCCCGGTCGTTCCGTCTCTGGACTATCTGCGTGGCGATTCGGCGACTCGGGGGAGCGCGTAAATCTCCGTGAATAGATACGATCAAATCATAAATTCTGAAAGATTTTGCATTTCTATCTCCAAAAGAGATGAATGAGGCGGAAAATTCGGGCCGGATGCCGGCACCACGCAATCAAATATCTTTCGAGATATCGCGCCATTTCTCTCTTTCTGATTATTTGCGCAACGATTGGGGAAAATATAGATCCGAGACGGAGATCCAAAATCTTTCAGAAGCTATAATTTGATTGATTTCATCATATAGAATTCTATATCTTGATTCTTCATCAATCTTCATATATAATCTTATATATCATTTCTTCATCGGATTTCTCATGATAGATATTCTCAAATATATATTATCGTTGCTATAGATGTCGGACAAATTCTAATTTGATTTTGATTTATCTATCTAGAATTTTGATAGCAAAATCTTATAATAAATAATCTCTCTAAGATTTATTAAGATTTTGCCAAGATCTTTATATAGAATAAGAATCATCTTTCTTAATCTTTTAAGAATTTCTCAGAAATTCTTACATATACCTCTAAGATCTCAATATTCTTGAAAATCAATCTTTTTCTCAAGAAATTTCATGATATATAAGAATTATCTAGAATATATCAATAAGCTTTTCTAGATATTTTCCTACGCAAGAATATAAATCTGCAATAATATATAAATTCCTTATTATTTTTGAAATCATTTTTAGATTTTCCTTTATTTATATTTGAAATTCCTAGATATTCGGAGAACGACCTTATTTGCTCAATATATTCGGAAATATTGGACCTCCACCGCCTAGTTCTCGTCGACGCCAAGTATTCTTCCGATGCAATCTATTTAGAATCCGCCCCACCTACCTTTGCCGGAAGGGAATTAAAATTTGCGTCGCATTCGGCGATTAAGATCTCCACGTTTTATCGGAAGTCTAGACGTTTATGAAAATACGAAGATAATTTCGAAAATACCAAGATAGATTCTTGGGGCATATTTCAAAGGCCTAGGATCTCTACAGACATTTTTTTCCGCGACCGCCAAGATTCATCTTTCCAATGTATGAGCTGCTCTGCCTGCTTTTTGAGGTAATTTCTTTCGGTGCATTCGGAGACCTAGGACCTCATCTAGCTGTTTTCTATAGGTGCCAGGATTCATTATCTCAATCTGCTTAAGGCCTGGGAATCCCGAACCTTTCCAATAGCTGCTTTTTAAGAGCGCCCAGATAGATTCTTGCGGTGCATTCGGAGCCTAGGACTTCCGCCGCCTATTTGTATGGGCGCGAGATAGATTCTTGGGGCGCTCTTGGAGGCCTCAGACTTCCACTGGCTATTTTTTGAGGGCGCCAAAATGGATTCTTGCGATGTACTTGAGGGCCTGAGACCTCCTTCGGCTGCTTTTTGAGGGTGCCAACATAAATTCATTTTTTGCTGCCCGAGGCCTGAGACCTCCACTGGCTACTTTTTGGGGTCGCCGAGATAGATTCTTGCAGTGCATTCTGAGGTTTGGAAGTTCCCCCGGCCGGTTTTTGTGGACGCCAATGCAAAGTGTTTCGGTGCACTCGGAGGCCTGGCGGCTTTTTAAGCGCGCCACGATAGATTCTTGCGGTGCACTTGGAGGCCTGGGACCTCCGGTTCAAGGATTCCGGTATATAGGGGCACGCATGCTTGTGTCCATCAAGTGTAGGTTATCCTCGTCGCCTCGTCTTGACAGCCCAAAAACATGATCCGAACTTCCTCACCAAGCAAAGCGGTACTTAAGTGTTCAGGTCAAAGGCGTTTCAGGGTTGAAGAGGCATTGAATTCTCCATAAGAAAGACTTCAACGACATCTCCTTTCGATGAAGGAGAACTTGTATCGCAAGAATTGCAATTCCTGAAATGGTTGTATGTTATTTCCATGAAGCTCCCAAGCTTTACGAGCAGATCCAAGTGTCCAATAACGCCTACATCTGCACGGTCGTGCTCTCTCCAGAAACGCCTGAACTCTCCCTCAACCGCGGCTTTAATGAGCCCGTTGGAAAGGATTGCAAGGTTGCAAAACTGGTTTGCACCCTGAACTCTGGAATCCAAAAGTGTGGAATCCGAAGCTGCGGAACTGCCAGCCCAACAATAGCGGCCTCCTGTTCAGCGTAATTACATAATCTTCACTGCAAATAAATTACGAGCACCAACCAAAAACATCAAAGATGAAAAACATCTTAATCTAAAACGCACTTGCGGGCTTCCTTGCGGACACAATAAGCGAAGCAGTTGCAAGACTCCCATCTCTCATTTTGTCGTCGCAATGAGCTTTACGAGAAGCAGCTGAATGCGCTCAGATTCATTGGTTCAACCTACCAGCGTTAGCAGTGATACTCGCAGAATTTGCGCTACACATACACGTGCCATTCATAATTCGAAGTCAGGCGGCGTCCCTGCACCACATGACCTGCCTGGAATGGAAACGTACAGCGAAAGGGCGTAGTGACGCAGGAAGTCGAGCATTGCAAGCTGGCGATTTGCCGCATTGCAAATGCAGGATTTCCTTTCAGCTGCCGGCCTGATTCCTCTTAAGCTCGACCTTTGTTTTCCAGTCAGAACTCATCTAGCATAAGCTGCTCCAAATTGGCCAGCTGCTGTGCGAGTGTGCAATCAATTGCGGTTGCAGACTTTGGCACCAGAACCGCTTAGCTAATTGATCATCTGGCCATTCTGATGTGGTATTCAGCGTCACAAGCTTTCGACTGGAGCTACAATTTCTCCGCAAATGGCCGATGCCACGAAGCCCCTCATTCAGCACTTCTTATTCAGGACAACCTCATCGAAGTGGCCGAGTGCTCACTCACTCTACTCATGTGCAAATGCTAGCCAAAGTGGAGCACAAACTTGCTTGTGCCCGCAGTCACAGATACACGTACGAATGTGCAACTTAAGGCTGCAGAACTGAGTTCCTTATTCGATTTTGAATGCCAAGCTGCAGGTCCATGGGCGCATGTATGCCTTCTCCTCTTCCGTTGGCGGGCCCACATGGACAAAGGAGGTGCATCGAGCCTTCAGGAGGCGGCAAGTATCTAGTGTCAGCTTCGAGAATCATGTGGTAGTTGATCAAGATTCCTGTTACCAAAATGGCAGTTATGGAAAACAAGTTCCTCCTGATTTCCCCCTTATAGACCTACAGGCACCCTGAATAATTTGCCCACCTGAGTAATGTTTTTTTGGTGGTT